GCGGGGTTAATCAGTTCTGGAGAGGTTAGTGCTGTTATTTCTGCAGTGTGCAGAACAAGTGACTTTTGGAACTCAAGTTAAAAGATATCTCTGTCCTTTTGATACAGTTACATGGGGCTTCTAAAATGGGACATGTACCATTCTCTTCTGTTCTGCTTCATATATATAATCATTTTCCTTCGTCAGTTAATGAAAGAATCTGATATCCATGTCTTCTGCGCTTTTACGGTGCTCTGAACTGGGTCATCACTTGGTCTGTGATGGAAGAAAATGTTTTTGAAAGCTGCTTCTGTTTCTTCTATTTCTGTTCCTTCCCCACCCCCCCCTCCACCCCCAACACTTTGTAGAAAGTCTTGCACTGCCTGATTTGACATTTAATTCCTTATTCCTTCTCCTGGCTTTTCCTATCTTTTTAGCAGTTTTCAAAGTGCATTATCCCCCTGCTTCTCTTGTGAGAGTATAGTTGTCTGTGTGGTTTACTCCTGTCTATCTTTTTCTGTGATACCACTGTGTGAAAGGTGAAGAGGGGAGTTGCACATCAAACCATAACTCTTGAAAAGCAAATACTTGGTTCCGTGTGATATGGACAGTGTCACTATCAGGATGCCTGTGAAAAGTTCCTGAGCTCTCCAAAGTCACAGGAAAGCTATTTTGTTGACACGACAAGCTTTTGTTGGGCAGTTGGAACTTACGTTTCTGTAGATAATTCTCTTTTCTCTTATGACTTTCAAAGTTGGCAGCCATAGAAACTGGTTCATCTGGGACAAGAAGGAAGGCAGGATACTTGAAGAGGGCAATGCGAAGGCTTGTGAGAACTGGTTACTTTTTTCTTTCTTAAGATTACTGCTTGAGTTGTACTGGAAACATGTTGTGTGCTTTTACAGGCAGCTAAGACATCATCACAAGTACTGAAAACTGAAGGTACAAGGCCAATGCTAATGCTCTGTTTTTCTGAGACTGTACATAAAATAGGTTATGGTTAGCTAGAAGGTCAAGGTAACACTACTGCTGTAGCTATGATAACAAGGATGTGGAAGGATGCTGTCTCTGCATATGTGGATTTGCAGAAGTTGCTGCTCTCGGATGTCATTATGCTGGTAAAGGTGTATTCTGTACTCGAATGGCTGTTTTCCTTCCCTGGGGTAGCGTTATGGCAATGCAAAGCCCATCTTTGTGGAGCTTACAGTCATTCTGGGAGTGCTTTGCTGGCCTAGCATGCAAAGGTTTCTGAGTTGAAGTGCTTGTAGTGTTTATGTAACTTAATAGATTCTGTTCTAACAGACTCAGAGGAACTTTTTTCCCCAAATTGTTTGGTCTTGATAGCAGAAGGAAAGATGATTTTTCTTCCCTTTCCCCCCCCCCCCCCTTTTTTTTTAAATGTTGTTCATCCTTTTGTTAATGGTAGAGCTGTATTGCAGTAACCGCAATGATGACTTCCAAGGCAGTAATGGATAAAAGATGGCCTGATAACAAAGGCTGAAATAAATGATTTGTACCTGAACAATAAAAGCACAATGAAATTATAATGATGGCACAGGCTCAGAATGGATGTCACTGCATATAAAGCCTAGACTTGTTTGCTAAACCCAAAGAGATTGCTGAAAACTTGTCAGTTGGATGGAGAGAAGCACTAGCTCTACGGTCAAGCTACTGTGTCATTTTCTCAGGAGCATGGCATCACTTGCATCTAGTGCTCTGCTTTTTCTCCTGAATATGTAACAGATATTCCTAAAATGGACAAGGAAAACTGAGAATGAGCGAAACTAAAATTTACTATGAAATGTGCAAGTTTGACTTTTTTTTATTGTATGTTTTCCAATTCTGCTGTTTTGACCTGCAGTTAAGTACCTCATCTTTCCCTGAAGAGGAAAAATGCTTTGTCAGTGGGAGATCAGTATTGTAAAATCATTTAGAAGTCAAACAAAACAGGAAGGTTATGTACTGGTGTAATACAAGTCAATAAGGTAATCTTCTGAAATTTTGGCAATTTCCATTTAGGGCCTCCTTATTTTTAACAGTACTGTTGAAAACGTTGTGGTGGTTGGCATTCAGTTTGCCATTTCTGTAGTCGTTTTTTTTTTTTTTTTTTGTGGTGAAGATAAACTGTAGAGGGAAGGTAAAGAGATGTGCTTCATGATTACAGAAGGGAGGCTTTCCATTTGTTTCGTGAGGGAAGGGATGCAGAGATGTGCTTTATGGGAGATGTGGGAGATGGAGTCAGGGCTGAAGTGAGGGGTGTAGTGGTACAGTAGCTTAAAATTATTTGGGGCATGGGTTGTTAATCTGTAATAATTTAAAGAGAATTTGATCTTTGTTCTGGTGCGGTGGTGGCAGTAGAGAGTTATGCATAAATGTGGCAAAGGAAGGTTGCCCAAGCAAAATGTCTGAAACTCTGTAAATCCTAGGCAATGATGGCTTGCATCATGTCCAGGCTTGTTTAGCTTCAATAAAGAGGTGAGCACAAGAACACCAATAACTTGAACACAATGTGAAGACAATCCTGGAAATATGCCGTGATGGGAAAGGTTAGAGGTGTTCTGCATATGGGGATATTGAAAAAGGGCTAAGAGAAAATGCCACTTTCAAAACAAAGTAGTGACTTGAGCAAATTTGGGGTGTACAAAGCTATAGAAGTCTGAATAATCCCAGTTTCTGAAATATTGTACACAACTTCATATGACTTATGCTAATCCTATCTAGAGGAAAAGTAGCAAATAGTATGCATTCCAAATGCCCATGTTAGTGGTATTAGCCAGATTGTTAGGGTTGTTTTTTTAGTAGAGGCTAAGGGGGTAACTTGCGGTGTATTGGGTTTCTGTGGCGGGGTTTTGGTAGCGGGGGAGGGGCTGCAGGGGCGGCTCCTGTGAGAAGCTGCTGGAAGCTTCCCTGGCTCCATGTCAGACCCGCCTCTGGCCCAGGCCGAGCCCATCAGCCACGGTGGTAGTGCCTCTGGGATAAAGGAGGGAAAACCTGCAGCGGAGAGGGGAGTGGGATGTGAGAGGAACCCCTCTGCAGATACCAAGGTCAGTGAAGAAGGAGGGGAGGAGGAGCGGGGGAGGAGGGGATGCCCCTGCAGCCCGTGGTGAGACGGCAGGCTGTCCCCCCCAGCCCGTGGAGGGGAGCGGGGGAGCAGATGCCCACCTGCAGCCCGGGGAGGACCCCACGCTGGAGCAGGGGGGTGCCTGAAGGAGGCTGTGACCCTGTGGAAAGCTTGCATTGGAGCAGGCTCCTGGCAGGACCTGTGGCCCTGTGGAGAGAGTAGCCCATGCTGGAGCAGGTTTTCTGGCAGGACTTGTGACCCCACAGGGGACCTACGCTGGAGCAGTTTGTGCCTGAAGGACTGCAGCCTGTGGAAGGAGCCACGCTGGCACAGTTTGTGAAGAACTGCAGCCCGTGGGAAGGATCCACGTTGGAGAAGTTCGTGGAGGACTGTCTCCCATGGGAGAGACCCCACACTGGAGCAGGGGAAGAGTGAGGAGTCCTCCCCCTGAGGAGGAAGGAGCAGCAGAGACAACGTGTGATGAACTGACCCCAACCCCCATTCCCCACCACCCTGCACTGCTGGGGGGGAGGAGGTGGAGAAATAGGGAGTGGAGTTGAGCCAGGAAGGAGAGAGGGGTAGGGGAAGGTGTTTTAAGGCTTGCTTTTACTTCCCATTATCCTTGTTTTGATTTGATTAGTAGTATATTAAATTACTTTTGTTTTTTCCCCAAGTTGAGCCTGTCTTTTGCCCGTGACCATAAGTGGTGAGTGATCCCTCCATGTCCTTGCCTTGACCCACAAGTGTTTCTTTATATTTTCTCCTCCTCATCCCACCAGGGCTGGGGGTGGGGAGGAGTGAGCGAGCAGCTTCCTGGTGCTTTGTTGCCAGCTGGGCTTAAACCATGACACTTGCATTCGTGTGATCTTCACTCTGGTCTGTTGCGAGTCGTAGCAAACTGTCCTTCATCTGAGCCAGGAGGTTGCTGTCCGTCCTCTCTTGGCAAAGAGTGTTAAATAGTTGTTCTGTGTAATAGCATAGATGATTTCCACAGGGAGGTGGAATTTAAGATCTATGCTGTTGTGAAATATAGATTTATATGGGGGGGAGAAGTTATGTTTCCATCTCTTGAGACCGACATACTAACATCGAAACATCTTCACTTTCATTTAGTGCACTTGGACAATGCAATTAGTTTATTTTTGTTTGTATGATCTTGCAGTCCTAGCAGTTGGTTTATTGTGGCATGGCTTGTCTTCATCAAAATTTTTTTTTTTAATTTTTTTTTTTTTTAATTTTTGTGGATTTTACTTACTTGATTTTCACTGGCTGACTATTTCCTGATCCTAAATGTATGATCAGCAGTAAAAATGTTTTTTCCTTGTTAGAATTTGTTAGCAGAATGACCAAATAGAATTTAGACTTTACTTATCTCTCCTCCTGATTGTTTTCTTATACATGGGTGTCCATACTTCCTCCATATTACTTATTGGGAACTGAATGCTCAATTCCCTTGGCCAGTTTTCAGAATTACATTCAACATCTGTATGTGAAATATTATCACAAAGATGAAAATACCATTGTATCTTTAATTGTGCTTATCCCTCTGCAAAAACAGTGTCATCTTTTCAAAAGACTAGTTGTGGGAAATTAGCATGTCTTTCAAGGTTATAAATGGTAAAAAAAGGGGAGGGACCAAAACCCCCCAAAAGAAGCAGTCTCATACTTCTTCAGTGGAACCTCTTAAATTAAAAACTCCTTTCCTTGCTTTCATGTCTTGTATGTGGGCCTCACTATTAATCTGAGAAACATGAGTAAAAGAACAGCTCACATGTACCCTTGAAAACCAAACCTAATGATCAAAAGAACAGGACCTTATAAAATTAGGGTATTACAGAAATGACTTTAATCTTGTTTGTTTATTTATGATCTTGATTTAAGATCAGTCTGTGTTCTTCTTTGAGTAAATGCGTGAAGAACTCTAACAGAAATACTATACAATTGCATTTTCTTTGAACAGGTACTTTGTGCTGGACTTTGAGACGGGGATTCTGCAGTATTTCGTGAATGAACAAAGTAAAAACCAGAAGCCACGTGGAACCTTGTCTTTAGCTGGAGCTATAATATCACCCAGTGACGAAGTGCCACACATGTTGGTGGTCTACTCTGCTAATGGAGAGATGTATAAGTTGAGAGGTACAGTGTTGTTTGAAGTGCCACCTGAGTCATTCTTCTCTCCTATTCCTGCTTCTACATCTCTTCTCTCATATCTCGTTTCTCTTCTACTTCCCTATACTGTCAGAAAGTAGTGGTTATACAGGTATCTTGTTACATACTGTATTATAAAACACACTGGAAGAGCAATCTGGAGTTAAATATGTGTGAATTTACAATATATAGACTTTCAGGGCTGGAAGATACCTCAAGATGCCTTCTATAAGTTGTTACTGTGGCATTTTGCTTGAACAGTATCTCTTGTTTGCTTCCAAAGGTAGAAAAAGCAGCTTTTGTTGCTGTCCACAGCATAGCATTTGACTTCTAATATTGTTCTCCCCTGCCACCATCCTGCAGATAATGTGCAGTAATGAATCTGCTGATGGGTCAGAGAAGGGAAAAATGCCAGTGGAAGGCTGTTAAGATAATATGTTCTTGTCAGTCTTGGAGTAATAGAATGCACCCTTAACATAAAATTTTGCCTTCCCTTGCTCCCAAATATAAGAAAGACAATATAAGGTATGCAAGAGTTACTTTGGAATAATTAAAAAAAAAAAAAAAGGCAGTATTCTGATTCTAAGGTATTTTCAGTATGGCTGATTGATCAGGATACTTTAATATCAGACTATTTTATTAAAAAAAAAGAAATAAAAAAAAGTGACGTGGTGTAACAAAAGTTTAAAATTATGTTAGTTTTATTCTGACCACAGTTTATCAGTTTTCTGGCAAGACGAGTATGCAGGAGTCCTCCCCTGTGGTACAGTGTGTTGCTTTTCTATATGTAGAACTGAAACACAAGAACAACCAGGGAGAGTTTCTGTTAAAATGTTTCGGAATTTGCACAGCTAGAAATCATGAACACTTGTGGTTTCATTATCATGCTTTTCCAGTCACTTGAGATTATCAAATACTTACAATATGCTGCTTTTAATTTAATGAGATCTATGAATTTTATTAAAATTAGTAAATAATTTTTATGCTGAGTCAATAACCATTGAGATACTTAATAGTAGAGGAAGTAAGAGAAAATGTTTGCTGAAATTTCCCACTCTGTATTGGTATTCTTAATTACAATTACTGTAGTAGTGGTTTGTTTAAAACAAAACCAAACCTCTCTCCTAAATAGACTTACTAATATTACACAGGAGCCACCTGTGTGGCTGCAGATAATCTTTTTAATAATTTTTAAAGCTGTTTTTTAAAAATGTGAGGGGGAAATTGTGGTTTTCATCCTTGTGTATTTAAGTTGCATGCAAATGATACACATGTTTAAAGAGAGATTTAGTTGAACTACATTGAAACAGAAGTACTTAAATTTCTGGGGAACTGGTAGCTTGTCTGGTAGTTGATTGACAGCCTGAGTGCAGAGGTTTTACTGATGTAAGTGCTTTGGTGTGGCCCTTGTCCGTCACAAAGAGAGACAAGTAAAACAAAAGTGAATTAAAAATGAAAAAAAGTCACCTTGAGGTAATTCTGCTTTTAATAACACTTGGAGATAACTATGAAGAAGACTCAAGCTTATCTCTTCCAGCTGGCCATGACATCTTAAGTTGAGGTTTAGATGTGTTGTACTGAAGAACTTACACATACTTAAATTAAGTAGTGTGAATTAGAATTTATAGTGCATCCTAACCAATAAATAATCACCCTGCCCCGCTCTGGCCCATCACCTTCTCTTATGCAAAAAAAAGAGTATCGATTTATGTGTGAGTCCCTGCATTTTCTTGTTTCTGTTCTAGCTGCTGATGCAAAGGAGAAACAGTACTGGATAACTCAGCTTCGATCCTGTGCCAAACATCACAAGGAAGGTAATTCTAAGGTAAATAATTAAGAGGGAGAAGTAACTATTATTTTATAAGTGGTGTAGGTGAAGAACAGCATGACCTGGATGATAGACTGGCTGCTGCAGTTAGTGGGTTGATGTTTAGAGGTTTATGAGTAAAAGCAGCAAGTTGTCATTTGTCACTAACTGGAGCAGGCTTAAGTCAATTGGGCAATCTTAATAAATAAACATTATCCTATTTATGAGAAATTAATTAAGTGCATTTGGATGCTATCAATACATGGTTAACTGAGTGGCTGGATAAACAGTTTATTAATAAATGCCTGTGTGATGTCCTGATTAGTATTTAAAAGTGTTAGTTGATATTAGTTTTATTTAATTTTATAAGATTTAATGGCCTTTATTATAAAAGTTTCAGGTAGGTGTTAGCAGTGGTCAGTCTTCAACTTCTTTACCAAATCTGAAAGAGGTCATCATATGAAGATTTATATTATTTATTTCTCTTTGGAAGTGATATCAGAATTTTTGTCCTCAAACAGATAAATATTTTGGACAGGTAAAACGTTTGGACTTAAAAAATTGCGGAATGATGGGTTGAGGGTGTCACCTGTCTCCAAATAGAAATTACATGAATCTGTTTAAATTAGAACACACTTTGAAAGTGGGAGATATTAAAAACAAACAAACAAAAATCCCTATTAGAAATAAATTATTACTGTATTTATTTTATTTATGCTTTTAGTGTTTATACTAAGTCACTTAAAAAAAAAAAAGTTCTGCTCTTATCTTCAGTCTTTTAAGCACTTCTATTGATACCTTTACAAGAATGAAAAAGGCTGCTTTCCTCATGACTAATTGTTTGCTATATTAAAAAAATGCATATAACTGCAAGCAGAAAGGATTCCTCCCTGCCCCAAGATGTTGAGAATATCAGTCTTATGTTAACTGCAAAGTCATGATCCTGGCTATCTTTGAAAGTTGGACTTTGAGAAGATGGATGGTATTTTGAGGAGACTGGCATTCATTGAAGTGTGTGAAGTAAAATAAAACCAATTTTCTGTTCTTTGTGAGTGATGTGGACTTGGCAATAAGCACTTATGGTATAATTAAAGCCCTTTTTGAAGGAGAATGAGTAACTTCAGTATTTCGGTACTTTTTCAATTCTTACACATGGCAGTTAAATACGATCTTTATATAGCTGTGGCCCAGTACTATTCGGAAAGGTGCAACTCTACTTGATCAGGATACTCTCACAGTTGCTGTTGGTTTGCAGCTCAGGGACTTCCTGTGCTAGATAGAGGTGGTAACTTTTTATACTCAGTTGCCATCAATGAATTATTCCTCAACAAGTTTTCTGGTTGCTTCTCGAACCTATTTAAATGTTTAGCATCTACAGTGTACTATGATGAGGTAGTAGAACTGTTGTTCAGTATATATATCAGAGACTTGTGCAATGGCATAGTGATTCTTATACTTCTACTCTCTATTTGTTTGCTAATATTTCTTGATACTGGCTTTGTTTTTCTCCTTTTGCCTGCTCCTGATAAATAATTCTGTAGAGGTGTCTCTTTTTAATACCAAAATCTCATTCCAGAGCGGCAGTAATTGAGTTGAAGCTGATCTTTGTGTAAGTGAAGTTTGGATCATTTTTCCTCCTTAAGTAAAAACTGTTGTACTTAGTAATAATTTATGTTCAGAATTTTTCATACTGCCTCTCTATGTCGAGCTCCCGCAGTAGTAGTATCTACATATTTTGATAGGCTCTGAATTAATTAGTATGTCAAGAGAAAAATCTTGCTGTTACAACATTGAAAATGTCCAGCAATTAGTAGTGGTCCAAAAAAAGCAAATAGAATTTTAGGAATTACCAGGAAAGGAGCAGGGAACAGAAGGGAAAATACTTAGACTGCTCTAACTCTGTCAAATACTTGTCTCAAATACTTTTATCAGTCCCCTTCCGTTTCTGAAATGGAAACATTGGAGTGGGGGAAAGTACTTTTCATCACGTTTGTTAGTCTTCTGTACAGAATGAACTCTGTGTACTGGAACTTGGCTACACTGGAGTCTTTTTCTGATGATGGGGAGGGAAAGGGCAAATCAGGAAAGTACAGTGTTAATAAGTGCTGTGGAGTGGCTGAATAGGAGGTGTTTGCTAGTTGTTAATATCGGTATGGGGGACCCTCAAAGAAAACGAGGTGAAAACTCAAAATAAAAGGAGGTGAATGAAAACTGGAGATTATTATGGGATGCGTTGGATGCCAAAAGTGTATATAGATTTGAAAAGTATTTGAAAGGCAAAATGTTGTTAGAAAGCCTTGACTAAGTGAGTGGGAGGCTATAAAATAGAAAGATGGTGACTGTCACAGAATATCTAACATGCAACTTCTAGAAACAGGCAGGGCTTAGAATGGGGAGCATCTCTCTAGACTTGTTCTTGTACTCTTGCATAGTGACATACCACTGCTGTGGCTTTCTTCTGGTTCCTAGGCTCATTGTGCAAGAAAACAAAAGGATTTCCGTGACTGAGGGGTGGTAGGCATGCGTAACTGAGGAACCAAACAAAAGATTGTTTCAAACAGCAGAAGGAGGGTTCTTACATTTTTTCTTAGAAGACTGATGAGTTACAGAAACTTGGCATAGGATGCTGGAGTATAGATGCATTTTGGTTTGTACAGCCAATCATACATTTTAATTAGCTCGGATACTTTTAGTATGAAATAGAAATGCTGAAGAAAACTAAAATATTTTTCTTACTTCTGTGTTACAAGTCTACATCTAAAATCAGACTAGGTCACTTTTTACTTCATATGTTTGTTAGTGAAGCACTCTTAATTGTCCACTTTTGTAAGCCACAGAGCAAATAGGGGTTTATGTCTTCTGTATTTTTAAGCTTAACGGTCTAGAAAGTAAAATGTTGGGAATTTATGTGCTTCAGATGAGACCACTGATGACTCTGCTTCTTACTTCAGAAGTGTACTGTACTTGAAGCAATGTCGTGCTTACCTGTTTCTAGGAACCTTTCTTTTGACAAGATTTGTCTCTTATTGTTTTTCAATATACTTTTTTCCTTTTTCCCCTCCTATCTTCTCAGGGTTATAGTATTATCTGAGAGGCAGATTTTCCCTGACTTTAGCATTGCATGTAGTGCTAACTAGGATTTTATCTACAAGTAAGTTTTAAAGCTTCTCTCTGCTTTTCTCTAGAAAAGCAAGTGATCAAAAGCTTTTATGTTACAATGATTAGATTTTGGAGATCAGATACTGGTTACAAGGGAGTGATGCTTCACAGAGGTTCCAGAAACTAGAAAAAACATATTTTTTTCTTTTCCTCAAAGTTTCTTACTTCAGAACTGCTGCCTGATAGGAGGTAAGGGAAGCAAAAACTGCTGCATTTCTTTGTGATTTGTTTTTTTTTTTTTTTCTTGTAGTTGAAAGTACTTTTATATAATAATATAATAATTATTAGCATGGGGGTGGAAACATGCTGTTTAAAATATTTTAAATTTACATAAAATAGCATGTTGCTATTTTAGCCACCTTACTGTTGCTTTTGTGTTGGGGTTAGGGGCTGGAATTACATACAAAGGTCTGTAATGACACAGAGAAGGGTACATGTTTGACTTCCTTTTGCAGAATTGAGGACAAAAATCTGTATTTTTTGATTTTGTTAAAATAGCCCTACCATTGATAGGTCTGTCATGATGTGATTTGTTGTTCTAATGGCAGCAGGGCTCTTTCCCCCCCTTCCTCATACTTTGAGGCCTGTGGTAAGTGATAACCACAAGTTGTCTGTCTCTGATAGCACTGTCACGAACAGGCAGATAGATACTCACGTGTTGTAAGCTTCTGGAGTTTCAACAGAATCCAAACTCTGTCTCTGCTGGGGACAGGCATGTTTCTGCATTGGGAAAGCTGGAGCCTGAGTGGTTGCTCCCAGCTTCTTCTACAGCTTAAACTCACCTTTTTCACAGGAAGAACGAGAGGCAGAAATTTCTAGCTATTTTTTAGGAGTCATACACTTGAGAAGGAGGTGCAATGGGAAGTGTAAAATATGGAGTGAGGGATATGTTTTATCTTATGCAAGTGGGATATAGGTTAACTGGGGAAAAATAATGGGATAACCAGGCAAACCTTGGGAAGGTTTCCAAGAATACCAGTGAAGCAACTCTTAGCTACAGGTCTTTCATATTGGAGAGAGAACATGCTTTTGAAATCTTGAACAGATATTGTTGGAAAGAGATTCATAGGAAAACATGAGAATTTGGAGAATGTTTTTCAAAGCTGAAGCTGTGTCACTATTTCTGTGAAATATTCATAGGAGAGCATTCTTTCTTCCTGCACTGGATCCAGATCAGCACTGGTTTCCGTCCTTGTTCAGAGCTACTGCCTGCTTCAAAATGCCACTGTATGGCTTGCTGTCCTTGCTGTCTTTAAAGCTTCAGCTGGGGGCTTGGAGTGGTGGAGGAAATGAAGCAGAGCAGTGATTATTAAAAAAAAAAAAAAAAAAAAGTTGTATACTAATGACTAAATTTAGTTGCATCCTAATGAATGGTCTGAAGGTGAGCTATACAGCTAACAAGTGGATGTAACACAAGCTGTCTGTCACTTTGTTTTAATTAAATTTTACATCGTAATGATAAAAAAAACAGTAAAAGGATAATGTTCTCTGGCAAATAATTCCCATGCTGTAACAGAGTCTTAATGTTCTTGGTATTCCCATACAAGTCTCATCTTGCTTAATTACAGATTGCTCAATCTCCACAGAGTGCCAAATCACACTGCATTGGAAGAAGTCTTCTGTGTCTGGATAGGATTTGCTGGTTTTTTAGACTATTCTAAGTGAATATTATTGTACAAGTTTTAATTAAAGCATTAGTCAAATTGGAATTCAGTGGTATAAAATGCTTCCAAGAAGAAGTAGGCTTATGCATAATTTTTGTGGTAACTTCCAAGAACAATTTTATATCCATAAATTGTCACAAGCTTGTTAGTTCTTCTATTTCATACCCCTTTTTTTCTTGACTGTTTAATGATGGT